AGATTCAAGCTTGAATTGAGGGCATCTTTATTTTTATCATTGGTGTTTGGAGCTGTAACAGCCATTAGTTTATAGGTCTGGAAATGTTGTTTTTTTAAAAAAATCCTAATTAAAAATTGGCAACTGAGAAATTAGACATATTTATCTCTTAATATTACAGACAATTAATTCGTCTAAATTGTACTTGGCTGTTCTTATTTAATAATATAAAAGGGGATTTATTGCTTTGCTCTTCTTCCTGGAATATAGCACTGGCCAAGAGGTTTTTTTTCCCATTCTGAATTATGTTTGTATGATGAATGTTATGTTTGTTTTCCAAAATGATAAATGATAGAAAGATGCCAGCAGCCCCTGCAGGTGTTGTTTTATGTTAATTGAGATTTATAACACACTTTATCCATATATATTCAGAATTAAAATTGAAAGTACCTTATAAAACAAGGTTAAATGATACTCGAGCTAAATTAGTAAAATAATTCTTACTCGGTACTCTAAGTATTAACAGTCTTTCTTCACAGTTGGTTTCTTTAGCAATTAATACATTGCAGGGTTTTTTTAATATATATTTGCATGTTTTTCTTAGAATTATATTACCTCTCCATGTTTAAACGGAACACAGTTATGTTCCCAGGATCCAGATAACAGACAGGAAATATCTTTCCCAACCTGGGAAACATCTCGATGTCTAGAATTTCAACTCCCAGAAATCTTACCCAGTTTGCATAATGGTAGAGGAATTCTGGGAACTGATGTCCACACTGCTAGAGGGTGCCCAATTTATTCTAGGGTGTTGCAGTTAATCTCTCCCTTTAGATGAACAGTCAAAACTGGTTTCTATTAGCTGCCATCAGTATTAAATATGAATTGAAAGGCAGCCTGTGAATCAATAAATACACCAGTGGTAGTCTGTTTCCCTGCCGCCACCCCCCTTTTCAATAAAATGATGAAGTGTATGAAATTGCCGCAAATCTTAGAGCAGCTTGGATGGAGACAGTGCTGTGGGTTCATCACAGTTAAGTCAACGATAATTGTATCTAACATTTGTGTAAAACAGATCCTGAAAGGTGAGGATCATGTGATAAGAGGCAGTTCAAGGCTGAGTCAAACTATCTACATAAACAACTATTGCTTTTCATTTATAATTATTTATAATACATAATTGTTCTGGTTTTGCTTTTAACATTCCAGTGCTTTTATAAAAGCTCTACTTGCGTAGGAACTTATGATCTTCATTTTTTCATGCTTTATTTGCCTATTTAAATGTTCCTATATCCCCACTTATATCCTTTTTAGATTTCAGTGTGGTGCATAATAATAATAATAATAATAATAATAATAATAATAATAATAATAGTAAAAAATTCTATTGAAAGTAAATACCGAACAATGACTAAGATCCATAATAATAAACTTCCAATATATTCAACCTGCCCAGGTAAATAAAATTATTTTTGCCTGACTATGAAGTTTATATTACTACTCTCCCAAAGACATCTCTGAAGAAAGAATTCTAAGACTAAGATACTCTCAGTGGGAAAAAAAGATTGTGTTTCCAAGTAGTACTTCTATCCGCCTTTGGTTACAAGCCAAATCCAAGGCGAAAATCCTTGATGGTGGCAAAGTGACTTCTTTGTTATTACTGTCTAGATTTTGCTTTTGGTGATCTTCATTTTTTGTTCCTCCACTTTTGCCTTTTTGTCTCTGTGTTTTCATTTTCATTTTTCTTCCTAGAAGTCTCTTTTCTTGCTTTCTTCATGGGCCCTTTTTTCAAACTCACCATATTCTTATAACCACTGCGTTTGATATGAATTTCTATATAGCTTGGTTGTGCATTGGGATTTTGGGGAACTGCCTAAAGTTGGGTTTTGTGTATCTAAAGCAACTGCCAAAGCAGTAAAAGATTATTTCAACTTTAAAAAATTTGTCTCACTAAATGACAGATGGTTTATATATTTAGTCTACTAAGGCTATGAACAAGAATTATACTACAGTTTAATTTTTACCCTTATAATGATGTCTCATTATAATTTTACTTCTATCCAACATGTTATATAAACTAAAATCAATTAGTTCTTAATATTATGTTAGTAATGCCATGTATCCAATCTATTTGAATTTCTTGAATATCACTTGTATTTGGCCTATTTAATCCTTGAGGACCAAATATGTCTGAGAAATTTCTCTTCCAATAAAAGTGTCTTTTAAAAGTGTAGACTGTTCATATGTTTAGTTCATTGTTAAATGTGGCTAAATGTTTACTTTTTATGCAATTAGAACAATATCAAAGTGTTGTAGAATAGCAATTGGGCCCAGAATATTGATCTTTGTACCTTAAGAATATTAATATAGAGGCTGATCAAGATATATTATGGGACCCCTGTAACTCTTGACTCCAAGTGTTCTTATGTGGTGGTAGTTATTATTAAAGAACAGATATTACTTGCTGATAAATTCTGGTATTCTCGTCCATCTCAAGAAGGATTAATCTTTTTTACTTTTTCTTATTATGCAAATCTTCATTTTACGGTCACCTGAACGTATATGTAAATGTTATATAAAGAAATAGCATAAATCATTAGACATGTCCTCATGACCTCTCAGTTAAAAACCCTTGAAAATGATGTGTGAGAGAGAGAAAGATATCACAATATATTATACCAGATAGAAGAGAAAGAGCAGTGAGTAATTGGACTATAATTTAACATGATCCACAGTTCTAATAATCTGTTCACCCATCCTATCCATTTCATTTGTGATGCCAGTGTCAATACAAACCAGAGCTGTAACTAGATTTATCCTTGTTACAGATTGTATTGTATGATGGTGATTATCAAAAGTAGACATAGGCCATAATCCATCATAGAATTAGACATGCTTTAAATGTGAGTTTCAAAATAAAAGAGAGGGAGGCTAAAAATCTCAGTTGAAGTAAGAGACTATGTCCACTAAAATGAATGGCTGCAAAAGGCTGCAATCTTAAATATATCTGTTAAGATTTATGCCTCAATAGACAAACTGTGACTTACATCCAAATAGAGAGGCATAAAATATATTGTTTCAAGATATTTATTTTAAATGTGGGAAGCAGCGTGTAAACAAAGGAATAAATAAGATTGTGCCGTGAGATTGAAATCTTACATACATTTCCTTAGAGGAAAGTCTTATTCATTGGAACCTATTTCAAGGCAGATATCTACGGAATTGCACTGCAAATGAATATAATTCTTTTGTAGTATAATTATAACCTTTATAAAGTGCCGTTGCATATTTGATTTCAGATAGTTTTCAAGAAAAGAAAAGATATTTAAACAATTCTACAATAAACATTTTCATATATTAAGTAACCATTGCTTCTTTACCTGCAATAGGAGGGCAATTCGGAAATAAATCTCCGTTTCGTTATCAATGACAGACACTTGCAGATACAGAACTTTTATAATACACATTAAAAAACGACAACATTGCATTAGTTTTCGACATAATCGCCATTCAAATTGAGGCACTTGTCATAACTTCTTACAAGGTTTGAAATTCCTTAGTAGTAGCTGCTCAGCGCCAAATCTAGGCTATGTGGGGGTGATCAAAAAATCCCAACGGAACTGCTTTAAAAGTTCTTGGGCATGTCTAGAGGTGTGCGGGTGAGCATTATCGTGAACCAACACTACACCGGAAGTCAGCATGCCCCAATGCTTGTTATGGATGGCTTGTCTGAGTTTTCATAATGTTTCGCAGTAGACTTCTGGACTGATGGTCGAACCACGCTCCATGAACTTCACTAGCAGTACTCCTTTGGCATCTCCACATTTGGCGGGATTTTCTATGGCACCACTTCCGGTGTGGTGTTGGTTCACAATAATGCTTGCCCACACACTGCTAGACACACCCAAGAACTTTTGAAGCAGTTCCGATGGGCTGTTTTTGATCACTCCCCGTATAGCCCAGCAACTACTACTACTAAGGAATTTCAAACCTTGTAAGACGTTATGACAAGTGTGTCAATTTGAATGGCAATTATGTCTAAAAGTAGTGTAATGTTGTACAGTAGTTTTCTAATGTGTATAATAAAAGTTCTGTATCTGCGAGTGTCTATCATTGATATCCAAATGGAGGTTTATTTCCAAATTGCTCTCGTATTATCTACAAGCTTTTTAAGTAACACCACAGATTAATTTCATCTGGTCTGCTTTTCTTTCTTTCTTTCTTTCTTTCTTTCTTTCTTTCTTTCTTTCTTTCTTTCATACTTGCTGCCATATAGGTAGTCCTCAACATACAACAGTTCATTTAGTGACCATTCAAAATTACAGCAGCACTGAAAAAAATTACTTATGATCTTTTTTCACACTTATGGCTGTTGCAGCATTCCTACAGTCACATGATTCAAATTCAGACACTGGCAAATTCAACAGGAAAGCCAGCTTCACTTAACACCCATGTTACTAACTTAACAACTGCAGTAATTCACTTAACAGCTGTGGTAAGAAAGGTTGTAAAATAGGGCAAAACTCACTTAACAAATATCTCACTTGGCAACAGAAATTTTGGGCTCAGTTGTGGTGGTAAGTTGAGAGCTAGCTGTACCTGATTTGTATTTCAGTGAAATATAAAAGCAGCTGTCTATTAGAATCATTTCAAAGAACTATCAAAACTCTTTCGTTAAATTAAGAGAGGTTCAAGATAGAGCACTTTGTATTCTGCTGATAAATTATTTTATTTTTGCTTGAAACAATGCAATATGTTTATTATCACTGTGCTTTGTTAATGAATTTAAAAGAAGCTTGCAGCAAGAAAAATGTAATCTTAAATTTAAATTCTGCTTGTTCAATAATAAACATTCCGTCCCACAGAAGTGTGGTGAAAATAGCATACATTTGCATTTTTATTTTACACAGTTGCTTGGGCATCACTCTTGCATGGAACTGTCTACTGATACATAAATTATGATTAATAATTAAAATGTACCATGTGTGCAATTTCAGAGGAATATTGTATTGTTTCAACAGGGCAAAGATGCTGTGGCTTCAGAGTTGGACCTTGCACCTCACAAATTATTCAAAATCATTTCAAAGGATGTTGTGTGAAGCCAGTGCTAAACTACCAGTGTTAACATTGTTCACCAAGGTAAATACTAGTTGACCAAGTAAACCAAATAGGATAGTCCCTAGCATGCTGGCTAGGGAATTCTGGGAGTTAAACTCCACTTGTCTTAAGATGGCTAAGATTGAAGAAACACTTCAGAGAGAATCCTGCAACCATATCTTGGAAGAATAAAAATAGGAAAATGTAGCTGTTTTCTGACAGTAGCAAGATTATTACGTGTAGAATGCTTTCAACAATACTAGGCTTGTATCAGAAGCAGGCAACCTGGGACTCTCAAAATATTTTTGAACATCAGTTTCCATCATTACAGATGTGCCTAAGCTGGCAAAAGCTAATGGGAGTTGAGGTTGAGCAAAATAACAGAAAGGGTCCTCATGTCCATTTCATGCCTATCTGGTCATATGAAATTGCTGTATTTATCCCGTTATACCAAACATTGTATAAAATTTTGATTAATTATAGTATTCCAAGATATCAAGAGTCTTATTGAATTACTACTCCATATTTCCAGTTTGACTAAGCCTGGATTCTTCAGTATAAGGTCATTCTGTATAGGAGGCCATAGCTCTAGTACTGAGTTACGGTTCCCAAAGAAATGGCACTTGTGCTTCAGGTTGATTATTAGGAAATTCAATAACAGATTTACCCTTATATTTCTTGGTTTCTTTTTTAAAAAAAATGGATTTATCCTCTCAGGAACTGGACCAGCCCAAGATAATTTACCATAAATAAATAAATATATTTCTCCCTGATGCAAAGGATGTCATATTGTGTTTCACTCTTTTAACTATAGAAGCCAACGGAGTGATAGCTAAATGTAATATCAGCATTGTCCAAGAGATGCAATGGTTTACTATACCTGGCAGTAATAGGCTAGTTTATAAGATGTGGGACAGGTCTTGTGGACTACCAAGTGTGTGTTCCAAGACCAGAGAGTAGCTAGAAGCTCAGAAGGAACAGTTAATGATGTACCATTGTGGTCCTTCATCTATTCTCTCAGACAATTGCCTCATTTCTTAATGGTAACAGCTGGCCTCAGTAGCCAAATATGCCCATATAATACTAAGTCAAGTTTGCATATGATTATGCACTAGGACTGTGATTTAGAACATACAGGGATGCAAGTGTAGCAAAACCTTCCCTGCTTTCTCCAAATAGGTCAATCCCTATTATGAATGATTTCTTGGACTTTCAGCATTGATTGATCATGCTGATGTGTTCATTTCATATCATGAATAAAATTCCAAGAGAACAGTGGGCAGACTATACTTCCTGTTGGTTGTGCTCCTCCTTTCTTGGAATTGGGATGATGCAAACTCTACAATTCCTACCCTTCAGTCACTGTGGTCCCTTGACCTTGGCAAGCTCCCTCAAAATTTACTCATAACTCATAGATTGAGTTTGATTTGAAGGATTACTGACCTTGCTTGTGCCCTGGCATGTTCTCTTGTACCCATTTTTGTCTTCAGATCTGAACCATTTCAAGCTCTGATTATCTATCTATCTATCTATCTATCTATCTATCTATCTATCTATCTATCTATCTATCTATCTATCTATATGTATATATACAGTAGTGCATAAAGATTGGAAGTTGAAACATTCTGTGTATTTGTGTGAGCAGAAATCTGACTTGAATGATTTTTGAAGCTACTTGTATAGCTACAACAGAAGGCAGAAATATCTTATAGATATTTGCAGAGTCTACTCTTTAATACCTAGGTAACTACGTCCTATTGAGTAGAGCATCAAACAGCATGTGTTCTCTGTATGTTTGCCTGGGAAGAAAGGGAGAAGAAAGTGACCACAGATTACCAACAGGAAGAAAGGCAAAGAAGGGCACAAAGTAAATCTTTAAGTATCTTGATACCACTGTCCCCTTGTGCCATTGGATTTATACTTCCCACAGTGAAGAATGTATTGATTGTTTACAGTATTACTTAATGGCCCTTGATAACTGAATTAATATCTCAGCTCAGTTCATTTGTGAGACAAATGTTTCTGTTCAGAAATAAACAATTTTAAAAAGGGAAGAAATATGCAAAATGTAATTGGATTTCAGCCTGTTTTATTTAGCTGATCTTATTCAGGCAAGTTGAGCTAAATTTTTATTCTTACATGTAATTCGAATATAACAAAGTTGTTTCAGTGCTAGTTATCTATGCGGCTTATACTCTAAACAGAAAAGAAATTATGAATAATGGTATGATGGGGGATGGGGTAATTATTAACTATGGAAATAATGTTTTGCAAAGCCTTAGCTATAGCACATGCTGAGTCTTAGCAGTATGAAATTCAGTCAGTACCAAAGCTCGCCAGTCACTCTTTCTGAGCCCAATCTGCTTCACAGAATGGCTATTGTAAGAAAAAAAATAGGATGAGGAAGCATTATCTAGTAGATGTATGATAGAGAAAGGAAGGAAGGAAGGAAGAAAGGAAGGAAGGAAGAAAAGAAAAGGAAAGAAAGGAAAGAAAGAAAGAGAAAGGAAAAAGAAAGGAAAAAGAAAAAAAGAAAGAGAATAAATTACATTTTATGCAGGCTTGCTTTATTAAATAAACATTTCTTTACAAAATGTTCAAAATTGTCCAAAAAGCAGAAAAGATTAGTTCCTTAGACAGACTAAAAAACAGGCTCCTTTTATTAGCTTAATGTAATATTCTCATTTTGGATCCATTCTATCCAGTTCCAATTATGTTTTTAAGTAAACAGAAAAATTATGCTACAAAGAATACACAGAAAGAATAATGGATGCCCAGAAGGTATGTTTGTTCTCTAGCAAAATTGCAGTGGGAGAGAGAACTATCTTAGAGAAGAGAGAATCTTAGAGAAGGTTTTTCTGGGTATATCAGTGTTCCTGGAATACAAAATATTGAATTGACTTAGAATTGGTAGAATTGAATAGAACCTGCCAAAATATCAGTCTAGATCAGTGGTTCTCAACCTGTGGGTCGGGACCCCATTTGGGGTTGATCGACCATTTCACGGGGGTCGCCAAGCAAGGCTGTCCGCCATTTTTTTGTCCGCCATTTTTCCCCCTTTTCCGGCGGGTGCCTTACCTCCCTTGGGCTGGGCCAGCTGGTGGTCGGCCTGCTCCGTCTCTGCCGCTTGTCAGCTACGCCTCGGCCGGTGCAGGGGGTGGAACCACGCATGCGCGGCGCTCCCAGGCAGGGAAAGTCCTCGACTTACGACCGGTTGGGTAGTCCTCGACTTACGACCGGTAGGGTAGTCCTCGACTTACGACCGGTTTAGTCCTCGACTTACGACCGGTTGGGGTCGTGGCATTAAAAAGGTTGAGAACCACTGGTCTAGATTCTTCTGGAACTTCTTGAAATTATATGTGGACTGATAATCTCACTTGAGAAAAGGCAACTTTTCTCTGTCCTGGACTGTGTAGTTCATGCTGACTTTGATGTACTGCAGGGACAGGAAAGGATCAGAGTAGGTTAAAATGATCCAAACACATGCAGCATTGAAAGTGCCTTTGAGAAATCTAAATGGCTTCCAGATGGCACTTGGGGATGTGTCCCAACAATCTAAAGGGTGGTTTTGCCAGGAGCCTAGTTGAATGTAGGGATAACAAAGCTCTTGACAGGATTGCTTCTAAAGATCCTCTCCCTGAATGCCAGTCTCAGAAGTCCCTTGATTCTCTGAAGGACACTTGGAAATAAAGTGCTAGAAGAGATACTTAGAGTGATGCTGGTGCATGGCAAGGAGTAAATCTAATTGAACACAGTATTGACTTATGTTCATGGCTACATCTTTTGGCGAAGCAAAAAATTTTCCTCTGTCTTTTTACATATATATGTACAGGGCCATCCAAAGGCCCTTTTCAAAGTGACCCAGACTCTTTTAGGGAAGGATAGGTTAATTAACAGTCTTATTAATATTAACATAAATAGTCTCTTGTGAGTTCTTAGAAGAGTTATTTGCAGTTAAATTACTTGCATCAGCTCCAAGTTAGAAGCCTACTGAATAGAATCCAAGAAGTGATAAGAGTAACATATAATGATGTTACCTGGAAAGAGTTTGAACATGTTGACCTTGAAAAAGTACACAAAAAGCTTGGTGAGATGAGTTCTGTCATTTGTGGGCTTAATTCCTGCCCTGTCAGACTTATATTTGCTGCCAGAGAAAATAACCCAGGAAGGTGAATTTTAACCTCACTATGAGCTGAAATCATGTTCATGAAGGCTATATTTCTTCATCTTGGACTTACGTTGTCAAATATAATAGCGTTGGCTGTGGATGAGGCAAGGAAAAAAAATCTCTCCTTCCTTACCTGGTTCTCCAGAACTATCTTCTCCTGTTATTGTTTTCTGAGAAAGCCTCAATGGATGGAAATCTAGGATTTTTAGAAGCTGTTAGCATCATTGTTAGCCATGCTGGTTGGGACTGCTGAAAGGTGAAGTTCAACAACACCTATAGAACTGCAGGTTCCCTGCCAGCATGCTAAAAGCTAAAAGCAGATATGGATTAAATATTTAGCATGCACTTTTTTCCACCATATAGTATGTGAGATAGGATCTGTCTTTAAAAAAACGTAAGAAGCTGCAGTTAAATAGAGCCTGAATTCTACTTGTACACTTTATTGAGCTCAATGAAATGTGTTTGTATGTACCTTCTGTGTTACAGGATGCTATAAATGAATTCATTTCATTTGTTCTTGCTGTAGAGCAATGATGAATCTCATCCTGAGTTCTACCCACTGGTCTTTGAATTGGGAGAAAACTGGACAACATAATTCTGGCAACGTGTATTCTGCCACAGGCACAATGCTGGCAAATAATGCTGTTTTTATTTACGAGCGCTGTATTAAAACAATGAATTCCTCTTCTCTTAGCAATTGTTACCAGCCAGCTGATAACATTGGATAGTTAGGTCCGTTTTGGTCAGGGTTTTAACATTATTCTGAAATAACTAAAGTTGTGTTCCAAAGAAGCTTGGTACCATCCAAATCTGGGCTACCTTTGAATACACCTGCACAAACCACTTGTGCCAGAATGGATTATCAGGCTCATTTTGGATTTGGATTTATCACAATTCCAGAGAATCACTAAATCTGTACTGAGAGCTGAGACATATAGGAAAAGTTGTGCCAGCAAAAAACCTGGCTCTCTCTTTCCTCCTTCATTATGCAGCTCTTCAACTGCCCTCACTGATAGCTGCTGTTTAGACTATCCAGGTATCTGATCCAGGAATTGGTTCAGAGGCCTGGCAGGTATAGGGGGGAAGGCATTTTCAAAGAATCCAACTTTCCCATTGCTCAGAGCAGAATGACCTTGGAAGTCAGCATTACAAGGACATGACGGAATAAAGATTGGAAGGATATATGCCAGGGTTAGGTTATCTATCCTCTTTCAGGGTTGCCTTCTGAAATAGGATAAATAATTCTGTCAATGCCGCCTCTCTCATTCTTCCCCTTCAATCCAGGATACAGAATCCAGTGTCAACTTATGCCAAAAAATATTGTCAAAATGTTTGAGAGCATGTTAACAAGCTTTATGTGTGCTATTTTTCATTACTGCTTTTTTTTTCTTCCCTCTTTAAGCATCCCTGTCCTTTATGTGAAGAAGCCAAAATGATGCTTGAACCACATAAACACAAGGTAGGTTAATACAGTCCTTTATTTGAGCAGAACACGACACGCAACATTTGAAATGGGGAATCAGAACATTCCTGTTTGCAGAAAGACATGAATGCATTAGCATCAATTTCTCTTTCTTTTAGCAATTTTTTAAATTAGTTTTCACAACTGATTTTCATAAAGCCAATTCTCATTTTTTGTTGCAACTGAAAATTGTACTTATCTATTACAAACTGGCATCAGAATTGGCTACAGAAATTAAATGCCTTGATTGGTCATATTAATTATCTTCAGTATCCAAAAGAGAAACCATGAGTCATCTGGGTTTATTCATTCATTCATTCATTCTTCTGGGTGGCTTGACCAAATTATATGCATTGCCTAAAAAAAATCTAGGAAGGGTAGCTACTTTTTTTGGCAATCATTCTTTTCCTTCAGCACAAGCACATTTAGATGGTACCGTTTGAAGCCATTGCTCCTCGCTAGACAACTCCAGTGTTTTCAATATTTACATGAAACTATTGAAGGAGTTGATCAGTAGATTTGAAACCAGGTATGATCTGTATGCTGATGATACCCATCTTCAGATAAGGATGGGGTTGCCTGAATGTACTGTATGTTGGCATTTGATAAAAAGTTGGGTGAGGAGTTATACACTGAAATTTAACAAGAGGACATTTGCTCATTTATATTATTTTACTATATTACATTAGTAATCAAAGTTATTAAAGAAGATAGTAGTCTATAAACAGGCAACAGCATTTACACTGTAATTTAACCTCACAATTAGTAATCTTGATAATTATTAAAGAGGGTAGAATTTTGGAAAAATTATATTGTAAAAGACCGAATTGCTTCTTCCTGTCACTTCATTGCAAACAAAAGCCTATTTCAATTGTTGACTGAAAAAATTACAATTTTTCTAGATTTGATATGTTTCAAATACTAGAGATATAGTACAGAAGAACTTGTGCAAGTGCTGAGTAAACAAATAACAATTTCATCAGCTTCCCATAACAAAAGGATTACTGGTAGCTGTGTTCAACCCATGTTAAACTTCTAACCAGAAATTCTGGGAAATTCTGAGAGCTGAAATCCGCACAACGTAAAGATGCCATGGCTGAGAAACTTACCACTATGGAACATCAGAAGCAGCAATAGCATCTGGACAAAATACAGTAAATGAGAAATGCTTGAATTATATAAACTGCCAAGAAACAATCTGATGTAATTCATTTGTTTGTTTGTTTTAATTCAGCAAACACTTTAAAATGGCTTTTTCAAAAGTGAATTAATACAAAGTAATAATGTTATGAAAAGCTTAATTGATTTTTTAAAAATGGATTTCTCTACTATTCTATATGCTTCCATATGGTTACCTATCATATTATTCCTTTTCAAGGTAAACAAAGTTATACAAAACACAGAAAAGGATGAAAAAAATACTAAGCCAAAGAAATTAAAGGCTCAAGATAAGGAACTGAAAAGGCAGCATAGCTAAAAATAACTTATGCCAGTACTATTCTGTATAATTTTTCATAACTTTCTGTCCCTGCAAATCATCCTTATTTCTGCCATATCTATGCGCCACTTCATATACTGCCTTTTGTTCTTTCAATTTTCTTCCTGTTTTTGAGGATCTTGTTAACTTTCCTGCCCTTTCCCTGCCTCTTGACCCATTTATAGTATAGTCCAGGGGTAGGCAGCCTTGGCTCTTTTATGACTCATGGACTTCAACTCCCAGAATTCCTGAGCCAGCACAGCTGGCTCAGGAATTCTGGGAGTTGAAGTCCACGAATCATAAAAGAGCCAAGGCTGCCTACCCCTGGTATAGTCCTTAGTAGGCAATGCCACAGATTGAGTAAGTCTACTAATTTAGTCTATATCTTTGGTATCTTACTAAAAGAATAAAAAAGTATTTTTCAACATGGATTATTCCATAATAAACTTTCTATGGGTAAACCAGTCAAAATAATCTAGTGTTGGAGGCACCAAAACAAAGTGGCATTAATTTTTAACCCACACAGGGATTCTGATAGAGGCTTTCAAGTTTAGCCCCCCCCCAAGAGGCTGAGTTCTGAAGTTCTGAAGTATTGAATAGTCATTAATTGAAGGTAGGATAAATGTCCAGTGATGACCATGATAGTGGGAGAAGTCAAATCTTTCCCAATAGTTATAATTTGTGCCATAAAATTATTGTGTCATAAGTCGATGTTTACCTGTAGTCAAGTTGGTCTCCAGAAGTGCTCAAAGAGAATATGTTACTGCTGGACATTATACTTGTGCGCCAGCTGCCAATTTGCTTTAAGGCATTAGTTCCCAGAACAGCCTAGTCCAGTGAAATCATTTTTCTATTGCCACCTTCAAAAAACTGTTAATACTTAGTATGAATGTATATAATCCCACACTTCTTATGGGTAAATCATTCTTGTTGAATTGTATAAATAAAATCCACCAGCGGACAAATAATGATGGATAAGTATGGTGTTATATAAATCTTTTCACCTGGTGGTTAACATAGACATTTATTACAAGCACTCTTTATTTTAATAGTATGTTAACAATCTTCATGATTCCTGTAAAATGCACCATTTTTAATACATTCTGGAACAAGAGAAACAGAGAGACCTTAGGGAGAGACTCCCCCGTGATATCAAGAGCATGGCGGACCTACCGGGGGTGGCTCCGTGACGGAGCGGAGTCCTCGGCAGAAATGGGGGGCCTCCCGAGGGTCGAGGGCTTCACCGCGACTCCAATTCGGAGAGCTGAGCTCGCCGGTAACCTGGTGCCTGCCGTGTGACTCCCCGAACGGGAGGACTCGGCCCGGCGAGGATATTGATGGGACGAAGGCCGGAGCCCGGCGGAAGATCTGGCCTGGACTCGGCCTTGGATCCGGCCCGGCGGAAGACCTGGTCCGGACTCGGCCTGCGGCCTCGATGACAGCGGAGGC